CCAGTCCTCGCTATCACCCCCGCCCCGCACTAACCTTTCCGTCGCTTCCCCACCACTCCCATTGTTACACCCACCACCCCACCCCGAGCCTTGCCCCCACGCCTACCTTTACCTCGACTACATCAGGGTTGAGTGCATCAGAGGTCTACGCTGCCTCTACTGGGCAGAAGTCGACAGACAACAACTACCACATCGAGCTTGTCGGCAACACGAAAGTTTTCTTTTAGGATATTGTCCATAATCTTTTTTTTTTTTTCAATTGAATATAAAACTGTCAAATTATTGTTTTAAGGTTCTACCACTCGACCCAGACTATTCATGTCATTCAAAATATCATTCATAGCAAGCATGACTTAGCATACTTGTTGTGGAAGGAGAACCTGATGAGTATTCGAGATCTTTGGTTTCAGGAGTTCGCAATAAGTAGCGTTCGCAAATAATTTAAGTTATTTTTATTTATTTATCAATCGAACATAATCCATATAATATTTGCACAAACAATTCTCCTAACGCTTAGAGAAAGATGCACATATTGCAACTTCGAGCGCAAGGGCAACGATTGCCTCCGAGACATGCATGGCGATATCTAGAAATTGCGACAACATTATATGTGGTGTGGAGAGGATGTTTTTGCTATACTGCTTCAACTATGAGATTCTCTGAACTACCAGAAGAAGAGGGAACATATAAAGCAAAACAGGTGGTCGGATTATGGAGGCATGGAGCCTTCCAAGCACACTGACGGGGCCCTCCCACATACAAATCACAAGCCAATGCTAGTAAGATTTCATTTATTCTATAAAATCTTCTATAGTTTAAACATGTATTATAACAATTTTTTTAATGAACAGGTTGTGAAGATTGGACACGAGCCCTCCATCGCCGATGTAAACGAGCACAAACATAGGAGGTGGTCCAACCAGTCGTCGATTGACAAACAGTAATTGACGAGCTAAACTAGCTTTATTTTAATCATGTTAGCTCTAACTGAATGTAAATACTTTTGCTCGCAGGAGAGATTCCAGCAGCCGAAGGAGAGCCGATCCCATGCATCGGGAGGAATTACAATCCACAAGCATGATCTTTCCGAGTACGACTTGTGGAGGGAGGCTTCTGAAGGGAATAAGAATGGTCGAGTCTACGGGTTCGATTCACAGGGGTTTGCCTACGACACTCACCCCTCCACGAGTGCATCTACAACTTCTGCCTCTACTGCACAGAATGAGAAGATCTCCAAACATGTTGCGGCATTCTCTGCCGGGATGGAGGCTCACTTCTCTTAGATGAGGTCGGAGATAAAGGCCGAGTTGGATTCGTTCCGACAACGGATAAGGGAGTGTGGCAAAGCAACGATAGTATTGGAGGAGGAAGTGGCAAATGATGGTGAGAATGAGGTTGACGAGGTTTTTTTTTTTTTTTTTATGTTTATGTGCATCTAGAGATACATTTTTTATAAACAGTGATGGACATATTTTAGAGTAAATACATTTTATTTATTTCATTATTTGATTGAATAATTTACTATTTGACAACTATGTTATTTAGTTAAATGCTTAAAATTATATATTAAATGTTGTGATAGTAGGTGTGGTAATTTAAATACAAAAGAAAATTTTTTTTTCCTCATGTTCATGCTTCTGACGACTTACATTTGATTTTGCGATGGTTTTAAACTTATCTGTAAGTAAACCGATGGACATTTTTACCGACATATAACCGACGACTTAAGGTGCGTCACAAAAAAATAATGGGCGTGACACTTTTGCAACAGTTAACCCGTTCATTATAAAAATGAATCATAAATAACGTTTAATCGACGTTTTTAATCTACGTCATAAAACGTACGGGTGTGACACTTTTCTGATATTTAACCCGTTAGTTATAAAAAAATGATACATAAACGACGTATAATCGATGATTTTGTCAGCTTAAAAAAAGTGACGGGTACAACACTTTTCTCACGTGTATACCGTCGCTATTACCGATGGAAAACAGTTGTTTATACTAACCGACGATTATCGACGACTCAAATTTTCTCAAAAAAAACTATGACATAAATATTTGGATAATTTATACCATCAGAATATCGTCAATTTTGGAATTACAAACAAATATTTTACATATGAGCTTAAAACTGTCAGTAACATTAAAAACAATGGTTTTTCTTGTCGTAACCGACAGATTTTGCCGTCGGAAAAAGCCTACATTCTTGTAGTGTTATTTGGATTTTAAATTTTAAAACTAGAGGAAGGAAGAAGAATATTTGAATAATTTTTAGATTAAGTTCTCAAGGTATATATAGCTTACAATGTACAAATGGGAAGAACCAACTTCAATCTTAAGGGTGGGCAACATTATTAAATACTAAAATTTTTCTACGTATTAAGTAAAAAAAATCTATTGTTTTTCCTAAGATTTACAGAAAGCAAAATTAAATTTCTATTATATGTAATGAAATCTCAATTTCCTTAGTGGGCAATTGCCCACCCTAGATTTAACCTAAACCCTTTCCATGATATGTACAACCGTTCTATATCTCTTCTATCTCTTATATATATAGGAGATGACCCATGATGTGATGTCATGTTTTTTTAATAACTAGATTTTTATAATTATATGAATATCAAAATACAACATATGAATGCTTAAATACAAACAAATATTGATATAGTTCAACACTAATAGTTGAGCAAAAAAATACAAAACTAGAAAATGAGGAGAGGAAAAAAAGCAATTGAGAGTAAAGAAGAGGGGTCAACAATGGACGAGAAAGAAATACTAATGGTGAATGAAAATAAATAATGAAATTGTAACAAATTAATATTTATATTTTCTTTAATTAAATGAAGTTTGCATTTAATATTTATTTTTGTATTATATAAAACATGGGCAGTTGTTGAATTTGTTTGTATAAAACATATGGTCGTGAGATTTACAAATTGTTGGGTATGACTCATATATCGGGACAAATGCTGGAGCGGAACGGAGGGAGTAAGCGGAGTGGAGCGGAAGCATCTGTCCAATCGTGGGGGGGTTTGTGGGGGCAACACCCGTACAGTACAGTACATAGGTAATTTTGTAATTATATATTGTATATATATATATTAGAACCATATGTAGTTTGTACTCTTTTTCTGAAATTGAAGAAAAGCCACCGCTCTGCTCTCGGGGACGAAGGCTTCTTTGCCGAACCTCGTTAAATATTTGTGTTTCTTCTAGATTTGTGTCGATTCTTGCTTTTCTTTACCCTAAAATTTTCAACACATGTTATGACATATAATGTGTATGATCAAACAATTAATTAAGGATGAGGGACTGAAAATCCTTGGAAAAGAAAAATATTACGTGCATCTGAGTACTGTACATTCCGACAATGGACCGGGCCAAGCCGCAGGAATCGCACAACAACCTATCAGGACCGTCGTCAGAACATGCGGTCGCCGCACGTAATATTTCTGCTTTGAAAAACACACTAATCTATTTTGAAACTCTTAGGTGCACATAAATAACAAAATAATGAGAGAAAATTTTAAAAAACTTTTACTTATGCAATAGGTTATTTCAGTGTATTCTAAACTTTCTGATCTTTTAATATGATACTTGAAAGCAATAGTCTAAAATAAAATCCATATATATGATCCTCTACAAGTTGCATACACTTTTCCTCACATCCTTTATTCCTTCATAAATTGCTACATCGAGGGCTGAGGTACTTGAGAATGGTACGCTCAAATTTATACAATAAAAATAATGAAAATATACTGCTATATAGAGTACCATCCCTTTATAAATGTTTTATATATGATAAAAAATAGAGCCGCACGCATGCATGTGTTCATTGGAGGGACTCATATTTATATACTACTGTACAATTGGCCGTACTAGAAAAATGTACATTGAAAAAGCTCACAAATCATATATATATATATATATATATATATATATA